TGACCTTGGTTTCCGCACACACCTCAATTGTGTGACCTTGGCAAGTTTATTCAAAGTAACAAGCACTAACTTTTCAGTGCAAGGATAGCCTGAACCCTGACTCATGAAGAGCTTTGAACTCTTCTCTTTTGGAGTCATTAACCAATAAATATTCTTAACTGAACACCCCCAAAATAGTACAAGGCAAACAGAAAAGCATTAACTAATTAAGACCTCTTTATCTTAGCTACTTAGCTCATTCACAAAGACTATTTATCATAAGCTAATAAAAAACATTTCGAGGAATCAAAGGATTGCTTTTAGTCAGACAATTCAGCAAGTAGTAAGATAAAACTTATGTACACAGTTTAGAGCATGGAAGCCTGCATGATGGTTAATGCTATTAAACATCTCTGGTTTTCATAAGGAAAGCCTCAAATCAGGATGTACGGCGATGTTGACAGGTACCTCAAACCGAATCCCACTAGAATTAATGCATGTGGGGGTTTCAATTTAAACAAGAGTAAGCCCTGTGTTTATTTCATTTCTCTTCTGCTTTATTGACATTTCTTTGAAGTTGTTCCTGTAAACATTTCCAGTCTCCAAACTTTTTTCTGCCCTGTATTTCTGCAAAGTGAAAGTTCTCAAATAAAATAGTAGTAGAGGCTCCTTAACAGATAACGCTGCTGCTGAGAGAGAGTGACTTTCCATATTAACTTCAGAGGTGATCTATATCCATGTACATACTTACCTAAGGATATTAGTGCTAGGAAAATAACGTAACGTGTCTAGTGAGAGAAGAGAAAGCTTCCTATTCCAGTCTGTGCTGAACACTATTAGAAATGACTGTAGACTGGGTGGTCCATAAACAACAGAATTTTATTTCTCGTACTTCTGGCAGGAGCAGGACTAAGATGCCAGCAGACTGACCATCTGGGGAGGGCTTCATCCTCCACGGAGCCTCTTCACTCTGCCCTTCCATGCTGGCAGCTCCCTAAGCCTCTTTCATGAGGGGGCTACTACTTCCCTCCAGAAGCCCATCCTAACCACTTCCCAAATGCTTCCCCTCCTGTACCATTGCTTTCAGGGTTAAGATCTCAGCATATGAATTTGGGGCACATGCAGACATTCTGGCCATGGGTTTTCCAAAACAACTATCTGGCCCCTCCAGATAGTGTCTCTTCGTGCAGGAAGACCCTGGAACTTCATTACCAGAGGCAATTACTCAGGCTGGCTTTCTTTACTAACATGAATGTGCAAGTGGCGCTGGGAAAGCTAAAACTCGGACAAAAATTCCCAGAAAGATAAAAATGTACTAAGCTCTTTACAGTAGATTTCAACAGAATAATGGACACACTTATCCTAAAAAGGGGCCTTTCTATCTGAAAGAATATAGAGTAACATAGAGAATAAAAATGCACAAATAGAAAAGGTTTTCACAAAAGTTAGACTGAGGTGAGAAAATAAAAACTTTGTCAGAAAAATTAAACAATACTGAGAGCTTGTGAGAACCTTTTCTTTAATTCTACGCTTTCAGTATAAAATATCTAACTGCATATTCAAACATAGAATATAAATATCATAAGTTGATAAAAACATATAATAGACTAAGTTAAACAAATCATTTAATTAAACAATTAAGGAAATATATCCTTGATATTCATAGTACCGCAGTTGCTTACATTCTGTAAAGTCACTGAGAACACTGAATTTTAAAATATCACTTCACTGCTCCTAAGCAAACAGTGTTAGGTTCCTGTGACACTGTAATCACAAAATCTTTTTAATCACCTTGTCAATGCATGATTTTCCCTGTGTGTGTTTCTATTTCAAGATATCTTAATATATATTTTCAATTCATTATAACTGAATTCAATCGACAGTGCTCTGACTTGTTCCTGAATTAAGCTTATCTAACATACATTTTCCTGGTAAGGCACAACATCGCCAGTAATGTGCAGGTCTTTACATGTCTGCAAATGACCCAATAAAACATGATGAGTATTGATTTTTGGCTTAAGTGAATGTTTATTGACTGGGTGAATTTGCAAATGAAATCAGAATCATCCATATCTTGATTCTGAAGGCAGTTTACCACTTTAACATTGGAAATTAATGGATAAGCTCAGCTTCCTTATCTAAAAGATTTAGTTGATGATTAGGATCCTGCTGATCTCCTTTCCCAGAAGATAAGGCTATGTGCCTTACGCAGTAGCCACCGGGCAAAATAGTGATGGAAGGTAAGGCAAGGACAGGCTCATTGGAGCTGGCACTTTTGATCTCTACTTTTCAAAGCTGATTATTTTCCAAGTAGGTCTTACTTTAAGGAAAACACAGTCTTTGTTACTTTTGAATTTCTTGGAACCTAGTATCTCTAATCTAAATTTAGCCACATAATGTAGCAGGCACTCCATAATCTAAATCTAGTTTATGTATCTAGGCATGTTTCCCTCAATGTGGAAACTTACATGTCCTTCATAAGGAAAGGATACATTAATTTCCATCCATGAAACTGCATTCACTCACCACTCACCTCCATTTATCCATCATTTCTATTAGAAATGCTAACCATGGAACCATTGGTGCCAGAGATTCAGAGATCAGCAGCATTGGAAATATCCCTACCCTTTGGTGACTGTATTGTAGTGAAACACATAAACCGATATAAACAGACAAACCTACAAAATAAATTCCAATACTCTACTCGTAAGTGCAACACATTAAAACAGAATGATGGGTTAGAGATAATCATAGGTAAGAAAAGGTTTTAGACGGAGTTGTCAGGCAAGTGTTTTCAGAGGAGATAACAGAGATCTGATAAAGTGAGAAAGGAATGAAAGCAAAAACAGCAAAGTACGGGACTTTCCATGCTGAACACACTCGTGGGACGGAGAGCTGGGTATTTGGGGGAACAGAGAAAAGGCCAGGGGAGCTGATATAGGAGTAAGAAGAACCTAAGACCAAACTGCAGAGTGCCTTGGTCTGTAATATGTGAGTCTGGATTGTAATTTAGGGTTTATGGATGCCCACTGGGTAACTGCAAGGAGAGTTAGGTAATAATCTAACTTATATTGTCAAAGCAAAGCATCATTCGGGCAGTCATGTGAGGAACAGGACACACAGGGTAAGAGTTAAGACCTGAGGTCCTGATCAGGAGTTCCAGGCAGAGTGATACGAAGAACAGAACGACGGCCAGAGTTGGTGTAAAGTCGTCACGTACACTTTATATTTTGACAGACAGAATGAAATCTGTTTTTAGCTTGACTTTGAAATTTAAGGGAAAAAAAATAGAATTAGGGATATTCATTGGGTATATCATGATATCAAGCACTGAAATGAATTAAAGAGTAGGACGAGTGGGTAAAACAGAGGTTGATAAATTAAAAAGTAAAACTGCAAAACAGCTAAGCTAGCAATTTCAAGCTTCTTATTGCTACAAAGATGTATGGTATGAAAGCCTTCTCTGACATAATCTCTACAATAAGAGAATTCCATAATACAGTGACTTCTATATTGAAAGACAGTTAATCTCTTCATGAAATAACACCAAACACTGGAAATATCACCACTAGGGTGATAATTACTTAATGAACTAGTTTTAGTCTAAACTATAGGTATAATTCTATCCAATTTTATCTTACTGTTAACAATAAATGGCTCTATCTGAGCAATGTTTGAAGTCCAAATTACCCATTCAATAACAAAATTCAAATGCCAAGCAAGTAATCACAAAGCCAAGACTTCTAAAAACACGGTGTTATGATCAGAGCAGAAAATACATTCTTTCATTACAAAAAGAAATATCTGGGAAATTACCTGGTGAATACAAGGGAGTAGAGACAAATATTAAAGAAATGAAGGACACAGGCTTGTCAGGGAAAGTATGAGCTTCTCTGGATTTACGGGAAGTGCCTGGATTTCCCTAGCATTCCTGCTGTGGAGCCAGAGACAGGATTCTTGTCACTGTGTTCGGTTTCAAGTACACACCCTGCCTGCAGATAGCTCACGCCTTTTACTGCCTTTAGGGTGCTTGGACAGGAAATCAAGCTGCTTTCTAATTAGTGGAGAGTCTAGATTTCTAACCTTCTCCTGGACAAACCACCCTTATTTCGCTGTTCCTTTCTGCTTCAATTTGGTCTCTCAATTTCTAGACCAAGTCTGAATTAAACACACTCTAGAGTTCCTGAAAAATTTCCCTATTGCTTGGCTTGGAATCCCTATCTTAGTTCCTCTTCTACCACAAAAATGATGCATTAACCAACTTGGGCTTAGTAGTTCTGGACTCAGACTTTGATCCAGCATTCTGATTGGTCTTTGATCTATTCCAGCCCTTCATCCAGTAGCACAGTAATACTGCTGATTTCCTCAACAAATCTTTTGATGAAATTGAAAGCTCTTAAGCACAGGTGATGCTCCTAAGCACATTTGAATCATCTGAATCTTGAATTTTGATATATTTTGTTATCTATATAATAGCAAAAGATCAAAATATAGATTTTTTTCTCCTAACAACAAAAAGTCTACCTTTTAGCCTATTAGAAGAGAAATAAGATTTCTATTATTTAGGGGCTGGGGATTTAGCTCAGTGGCAAAAGCACCTGCCTGGCAAGCGCAAGGTCATGAGTTCGGTTCCCGGTACCAGAGAAAAAAACCAAAAAAAAAAAAAAGATTTCTATTATTTAATGGACTCTCCAAGTAGTCTTGTAAAAACAAAACAAAACAAGCATTTGTCAAAAAATAAATAAAATTTTTAAAATCCTATTGACAAGACTTCAAACGGCCTAATTCAAATTGCGCGGTTAATGTAAACTCACTTTAATCTTCTTGAAATGTCAGCAACAAGAAAAAAGTAAGGAAAAAAACCCTGAACTCTTGATGTTACATTTTATAGGCAACTCTTTGCTCCTTTGCTGATTAAAAGGCCGATTCTCTGTTTCTTTGCTGATTTAATGAGGATTCCCTTAAATGCCATTGTCATTTACGGCGAATATGCCCCGTGAAGGTTGTCTAAAAGACTTTACCTCAAAGGCCTGAAAGGTCACCCCGACATGGTAGCCCTCAGACACCGTTATTTTCCACACACACTCCTTCATCGGTCGGTAGTCATCAGGGTAATTAGGAGACTGAATCTGTCCTTCGTTTTTACGTATCTCCCCTCCACAGATCGCTGAGAAAGCAAAAATAAACAAAATAAGCCCAGATTTGCCATTTCTTTTCCATTTTCTCCTATGGTAACATTTCAGTTCAGAACTGAACATGAAGTAATTATCACCCAAGAACATGAAGATAGGGTTATAAAACATCACAGCTGGCTGCATGTACTGTTGTAAAGATTTTAGAGGGTAAAATACAGTCACCAGGCTGTAAGCGGTACCCAGTGGTCAGCCAAGGACTGTGTAAATTTTAATCCCTCTTATGTCACATCTTAACAAACAATAAGTGCTTTCCTAAAAACTTTTAAAAGCTTTTAGAGGTTTCATAAATTTATGCTATGTGAGTTCTGTGAGGCCCTGAGTTTCTTCCTGCTGAAGAAAGAGGTGCAACAGCTCCTCAGCGCAGAAACCTCAGCTGCACAGAACTATCCTGGGCCTGAGACAATGGGCTGGTGCTGCGTGTTACATTCATGTGAACTTCATGGCTATGCAGCTATTCTTTAAAGTGAAGTGTTTCCATTTCTTTAGACGTTTAAGGGAAGCAGAATCCTTCTATCTTGGAAATTACCTAAACTCCTGTACTAGGCAAGGTCTCCTCCACCCACAACCTGGCAAGAAAAGGAATGCTTTTATACCCAGGAAGCACAATGCCAGTTTATTGTTTTACAGCAATATAGAACAATACATGTAATAAATTCTTCCTCAAGTGCTGACTCTCTTATTTAGACAAAGCATGCTTCAGAAATGTACACAATTACTTTCTGTGCAGTTTCCCATGAAGGAGTATTTTAGCAGGCAGGGAGCAAATAAATATAAAATCAGTGCAAAAGCAGTGCACAAGTTTTTTCAGAATACTTCGGCATTATGAAGCACAGTTTGGATTTTTTTGCCATTTATCCTCTATCTCTGAGTACATTTGGCTGTTTTATCACTGACACCAGAAAACAGGCTGATCTCGCAATTTAAATTTCCCTTCAAATCATCCTATGAATATTAAGATGCACTTTTGTAATTTAAAAACATGGTTAAAATATCGTTCTAATAAAACTGAGAGAATGGACACTTCTGATAAGAGATCTAAGACGAGCTAGTCTCTTAAACGTAATGCAAACTTGCCTTCGTATACAGCGGCAAACCCTTTTCCTACCCAATTACTGCTGCTACGAAACTCAATCCACATCCTGCTGTCTGTCGAGGTAAGAACGTCAGGCACTTTGTCCCCACAGAATCTACCTGAAAGAAATAAAAGAATAGATATACCTAAATGTGATTCTGGACGCTACTTGTTTTCCACGCCCACTACAAATTACAAACATGTAAAACCAGATTTGAGACATATTTCTATCACTGGTAATCAGAGGAATAATTCTACCTTAATAGTGACTCGGCAAAAGTAAACAAAAAAAAAAAATTCCATATCTATTTACATATCTATTATATATATTCCATATCTATTCCATATCTATATCCATATCTATTAGTATTAAGAATAAGCCCATAAAAGATGTTTACAAAACTTCACACAATTCATCAAAATGGGAAGTGTCACTCTATTGCACGCAGAAATAGGTGTCAGTCACCCTGAGAGGTGACTCAAATTGTCCATCTGGTCATTAGTAGATGAGTAACTTTGTTAAGATTGTGTTCCCAAGCTAGGCATGCCAGCGCATGCCTGTAACGTCACCCCTCAACGGTTGAGGCAGGAGAGTTGCAAATTTGAATCCTAGTAGAGCAACTTAGTCATTAATAAGAACTTGACCCAATATAAAAAAGGGCTGGGGATACAGCTCAGTGTGAAGGCTCTGGGTTTCATCCAAGTACTGAAAAAAACGTGTTCCCAGCCCAAAGAGGAATTCCTTCTCCAGCAATGTTCAGTTCTAACTTTTCAGGAAAACTTGCATTTTCCTCTCAGGATCTTATATTACAGCACACACTCCATCTCTTCTTAGGGTTACAAGGACAGTAACAAACAGTGTTAGAAAACTGGAGTCTGGGTTCTGATTCTATTTTAATTGCATATGTGTGGGTCAGTATAATAGAAAATGGTACAGTGATACTGATTTCTCTTTCCTTCCCCAACCTTGCACAAATCTTTTTTGCTTATTGTCTTTCTCAGGTTTGTAAGCTTTCATACAATGACAAGTGGATAAATATGACAAAGCATGTGCGGGGCTGGGGATTTAGCTCAGCAGCAAAGCGCCTGCCTGGCAAGTGCAAGGTCGTGAGTTCAGTTCCTGGTACCAGAGAAAAACAAAAAAAAAAAAAAGCATGTGAAATAATTCTATAAATAATTTGCTACCCATTTTGTGTGTTGGTGAAAAATGATATTAAACATAATTTGAATGTATGAAACATGGTAGTCAAATTGAATACAGTGAATACTTGTTGACAGCTAATAGATGAAGAAGTAACTCTCTAATGGGCAAAGTAAATTAGAGGTAGATAGCACAGAGCAGTGTATGTGAACTGCCAGGAAATCTGTTGACGTTCAATTCTAATTCCGAGGAGTGGACCCAGAGTGTCTATAATTCTAACATTTTCCCATGAGTCTGATGCCAGCAATCCTGAGGCTACATACATCAGAGCAGTCATACAAGAAATAGTGCTACAAGTTTTTCAAATGAATACTGTATGGCACAGGATGCAAATACACTGAACATGTAAAGCAGATGGTGCTGTAAAAGGAAGTGTCTCCCAATTTCATCTTCAGATTTGGTTCTCCAAAATCATTTCAATAAAATATTTTCCTTGGAATGCATGAATGCATGTAACAAATTGCTTCATTGGAGCTTAGAAACTAAATTCACAAGTCATCGTTTTCCTTAAAAATTACATGTAGAAAACAATGGTTTTCTAACCTGACTTATTACATTAATTCATTTCATTATTTTTCCTTGTCTTTAAGCATTTCTATGGATCTCTTGGACTTCCTAAGGCTGCTTTCACTTTTAATGCAATATTGACCACTCAGCAGGTTTTAGATGTTGAGACAAAAGGTCTACCTAGTACATAAATACCACTGAGCAAAGCTATTTCTAAAAATAAAGAGAAAGTCACAATCTCAAAGGAAAAATATATCAGTAGAGAGTAGAGGCTCACAAGCTCACTACAGCTCTCACCTCCAAGTAAAACTGAACAAGCCAGTAAAACAGAGGGCAATAGCAAACCGAGGTCTCTGGTTCAAGGTTGGCAGCAGACTTTTATGAGCACCAAGTCTGACCTACAGTTAATGGCATAATCTCCAAGCGCCTCTTCTCTGCCACAAAAAGCCCCACAAGCATCAAAACAACAAAACAAAACAAAAGTCTGAGAACCAAATCCATGACATCTACAGTAAGAGCAAATGTGCTTGGCATAGGAAACCAGCTACCAGACTTCCCCCTGACAGCTCATCCTGTGTTGCCTTAGCAAAGACAAAACCAAACAAACACACACACACAACACAGACTCACACACATACATACTTTGTCCATCTTTAATTGAAACTGTAATTCTTAATTTGAGAATACAGAAACATTGTGAGTTGCCATGATAACCGTAATGCATGAGAATGCTCTTCTTTTTTAAAATTTTATTTTATTTAGTTTTGTGGGCACCAGGAACTGGACTCAGGACCTCACACTTGCTCAGCAGGCACTGCAGCACTGAGCTATATCCCCGGCCCTTGCTCTTCTGAACTATTCTGTTCAGATCCCAGTGTCTTGCCTCGTGTGTAAAAGCTCTTTAGTCTATTTATCTATTTGTCCTACTTTTTTTTAGGTACAGCTGAGCAAAGTATAAAAAAAAAAGATCATGCGGCCTCACACATGAGAACCCTAACATGACTCTTAAAAGAATCAATGATCTTTACACAGGATAGAAATCTGCAGAACTACACAGTAGGAGAGGCATTTCTCACCAAGGAGAGGAGACTTCCTCCAGTGTCCATCCCTCACTTCAATGTAGTCGTACCAGCACAAGCTACTCTTGTAGAGATCCAGGGTGGTGAAATTGAAGACAATCTGCAACGTGGAGAAAAAAACACACACGGTGAGAACCACAGTAAGGACACACGGTCGTCTGATTCCTAGGAGTAAGGAACTCAAGACTCCAGCAAAAATGGATTCACAGCTCTTTCTTTCTTTTCCATTTGGGGGACCTTGATATTACTCTTAAACAACTCACAGACACATTTCCCCATAAGTCCTCAGGAAAGTTAATTTGAGCAGTCATAAAACAAACAGAAATGTTCATTTAAAGAATTTATTTTGAATTTTCCTGAGATAAACATGACTGAATCATGAAGAATTTCAATATTTCCACAAATATCTCCTTTTTAATAATTTATTTCAAAGACAACCAGACATCTATAATTATGTTAAAATAACCACCATGTACCATATTCCCAGAACATAATTTCATTGTGTATGTTGAAATATTTAAATACAGCCCCAGCATTTGAATTTATCCTTGTAGGTATAATCAAAGGCAGATGTCATTATTCTTCTCTAGATCCAAGAATATATATTCAAAGACCTTTCAAGTTAAAAGATCTTGTACATGACCCTTTATTCTGTGCTTTGTTTTTGGAATCATGCTGTTCTTTTATAAAGATAATTCAGAAGTCTAGAAAGATAATTTCTTCATTGCTTTATAAAAAGGAACTTACTTTTCCAATAATTAACTCTTTTCTTACTTGATTACAACAAAAGTACAACAAACTAGCATGAGAAATGCACTCTTAGCAAGTAAAATTCATTTATAAATCATTTTGTATGTTCAAAAACTCATTCTAACTTCATTTCACTTAAAATGCCTAAAATACTTAAGGCTCAGAGTGAACTTGTATTTCACTCTACAAACCAAAAGGGGTTTTGGCCACAGTAATAAACTATGAATAAAATATGAATATTTGAAAAGCTTCTATTATAAAGTTATAATTTGCAAGAGTATTCATAGAGCCTTTTTGTAGCAGTACAAAAGCTTAATATAAGAGAACTCTAAAGGAATAAAAAAAGAAAATATACTATAGGCAATAATCCTGAATCCTTACTGTCAATTCTATACTGAAAATGTATGCTCTGCCTTCCCTGAGTATGACATTTACCACAAAGATAAGTACTAGTTATTATAAGCTAATCCTGAACTGGCTTAGTCCTTCCCTGTATGCAAATAAATATTAGTACAAATATTTTTAATGTTATCTTACATCTAAGTACCACAGTAGTCATTGATAATATTAAACCTTAAAATAGCTTTCAATTGCCCCTATTAGTAATATGTACTTTTTTCTTATTATGAAATAAATACCTAGAATGAGGAATTAGAGAGTTAAATGTTTAAATAAAATACAGCATGATGTAGCAGGTTATGGTTTTAATAGATTCATTTATTTCTTTTTAATGTTCTTTATTTGAAACATCTCTTTTCCTTATTTCACTCAACTTCATCATTTCAAGTATTTTAAATTATTTACACATTTTTCCCATATGTCAAAGGGCAGAGTATTGATTATTCTTTCCTTTCTTGTCTGGTAATCCTCAGCATTTGATTATCAAATTGTTTTCAATTCTATATTATTTTTACCAAATTTTCAAAACATTTTTTCCTCCAGTGGAACATGAGTTTATTCTTAGGATACAGTTTCTGGCTTTTTCACTTAACTTTGTGTTTATGTTTACTACAAAAGGGAAACACCACCACTGCCTGGTTTAGGTTTCATTCTGCTTTTATATTCGCCCTATAACGGTCACCATGATTTTAACTCCCTAAGATCATACAAGAACTCACGTATTACAACAGAGACAGCAAAACTAGTACACATACACAGAAGAGATACCAGAATGTATTTTGTGGCTTCTCTCTGGACTTAGAGGGAAGCTTTATAATGGTGCACAAATAGCTTCAATTTCCTTCTGAATGAGGAAAAAATAATCATCAAATTGGATATATGTATACCACCAAATTTGACCCAAAATTGAAAGCAATGTGGTTGGTTTGCTAACAGTTAATGTGGGAAGTCTTTGGAAAAAAAAATACACACACATACACAGTTGGAAAGAGGATAACACTGAGCAGAAAAGTTTTCTATCTTGTTTTTAATCTTCTAGTTTAAACTCCAATCACCATGGAGGAACAAAACCGCCCTGACACTAATATAAAACACAGAGTTCTTTAGAAGTAGAAAATGTAATAAAGATAAGTTTTCTAAAATCAAATCTGAGGGCTCTGACTATAGAAGTTAATTTTCTGGCCTTTGACTAAGAGGTTGTTAGCAGTATCCTTACTTGAATTACAAATCAAAAGCACTTGGAAAATAGTCATTTCAAATTAGGCAATTTTTATGTAACCACATTGCCTCTTTCGAGGAATAATAAAATGAATTCCACATAATACAATTACATGAATGTTTTATTACTGATAGTATATATAATATCAAATTAAAATTAATCATATTTCTTCTGGAGCATGAGGTGGAGGGAGACGCAAGCACCAATCTCAGGTTTCCTGTGATCTATTGGGAGTCTTACTTGCAAAATTAGAGTGATAACAACTGCTGTCCAGTTTGCTTGTTAAAGATTTTGTTTGACAGCACTGCACAGTGAATAATCTTGAAGAAAGGCAGATCAACAGTTCAAGGGACTGGAGGTCTCCAAGTCTCCAGAGAAAGACATAATCAATGAACGCTGTCAGCACAATTAAGGCATTATTGACTACCTAAACAAATTCCATGGACACCATTAAAAAGGCCAAATGGAATATCATTTACACCTTAGAGGGCTGAGGGTAAGAAAGATACAAGCCTTGCCAATTAGACTGATATTATTAAATGCCGCTTTAGAGAGAGACATCAAAATCAGAAACAGCAAGATACAATTGATTGTTGGGCTCCAGCCAGAGAAGTCTCCATAAATCTAATAAGCTCTCTAGATAGAAAGCAGTTGTTTTCTCAGAAATAAAGCTCAAAGAGAATAGACTTGGGGTCAGTAAACTATAGACCATAGGCAAAGTTTCCCTGCAGCCTATTGCTGTAAATAAAGTTTTATTGCAAATTTACAGCAATCACTTCTCTCTGTAGTGTCTATGTCTGCTTTTGCCCTACAATTTTAGAGGTGATTATTGCAACAAAAGTGATAATGACTATAAAAGTAAAATATTTACTTTATGTCATTTCCAGAAAAGTTTGCAAATCACTATAATAATTGATCATTAAGGTTTTGGTGAGTTCTAAAATTGTATTATATAAAAGGAAAAATTATATATTTTCCTGCAACTGCAAGCTGATCTTCATTGGAAGTCAGAAGACCTGCGTTCATGTTCTAGTTTCTCAGCTTGCTAGTTTACTTCAACTCTCTGAAGTTGGAATGAATGTTCTGAATGTAAAGTGAACATAATCATGCCATGCTTATCTCATTAAAAGTAAACCACAAAGATTTAATTGGATAATGGATAGAAAAATACTCAAAAAACTTTAAGTTTCTTTTGTATTATTAGTTTCATGGTAAATATTTAAGCACCTGTCACAACATAAATTTTGAAAGCAAATGTAAAATAAAGCACTAATTTAGTTTTTCTTAAGCTAAATATGCTGAGAAACATAAAAACATCAGTTTAATTTTGAAGTTCCCCAGAAGAAACAGCATAGTAAAATAAAGATTACACAATTCAAAGACTGGATAGGAGGACTTGCAGTATTGTTCCAGGATTGCAGCAGACTAATTATGTGACCTCAGGAGACCTTGATTTACATGAGGAAATAACTTTATGGCAAGGTGAAAATGGGAGTGGGCTTTTGCTATTAAAATAATGTTTTCTGTTTAAACGTATATGACAATACCTGGAGTTAGAAGTTTTGGTTTTTTTATCACCTACCACTCACCAGCACATTTTCTCACACCTCTTCTTAGACCCCATTCCACTCCACTGTCTTGTTAACCACCCATTTCTGCAAAGATCTGCTGCAGTAAGGCTCTAACCACTCCCCCCACCTTGAAGCATTTATTTAGTCCGGGCTGCCTATGCCTTTCCTATGGAGAATGAAACAGCTTTACAAGATGTATGCTGGTTTGTTGGCTTTACTCTTCTCTGGGGCATCCTACGCTTTATGGCCACATTAATCTCAAAAATTACTTGATCTGGACACAATTTGGGCATCAGATTCTAGAGCCAAACCCATGTTTCCTCCCTCATTTTTCACTGCGTCAGACACATAGATTTTATTCCACTCACGCTTAACTCCTTGCTGCTGTGCGCTGCCCTAGCAGCCTGCTGTCGGCATCCATTCCTCAAGATGTGCCTGGTCCTACCCCGACTCCACTCTTTCATGCTCTGCGCCTTGAAAGTCGTCACATACCCAACATTGGATGAATTCTACGATGTCTTCAGTGGTGCTGGCATCTTCCGACAAGATCTGAGCTCCCTTAAATCTCATAATAAGCTGCAGCTTGTTTTATTCAGTTATGTTTGGGAATTTGGCAATTGTGTCACAGGGTTACACCCTTGTAAGATTCTTGGTAACCAAGACTTATTTTACATGACAGAAGACACAACTATTTTAACAGGATGTAGAATTTATCCATACAGCAATTGTTGGGTTTATTTAGTGCTTTTGGCAATCTAAGAACTAGATTATAAACTGACCCCACAGTGTAAAGCATAGGTGAATGATTTTTTTAAACAGAGTGCAAAAAGAAAACAAATAATAGCTTTAAGTGGGTTGTACAGAAAAGAAGATACTGTATTAATTATATTCCAGACAACCAATCTGCTCTCCTACAAAGGTCAATCAATTTACAGGGACAGAAGATTCCTACTGTATCTTTCTATCATCTCAGCACAGAGACATTCCTAGCTGTATGTTCCTGATCATTACCAGAATTAACTATGCCACATCAAGACAGACTTTGGATAGGAATCTCTCCTTACCTTGACAAGTTTAGTCCTAGGAAGACATAACATGTGAATAGTCAAACTTATATTTGATTATTATGCGTAAAAAATATATATAACTTCAAATTTACCA